AGAGAGCTACTTAGATAAGTGTCCACTCGTTTAAAGCAGTAAAAAAGCTTTTAAAAAGCTTTTTCAGTAAAAGCTTTTCTGAGAGAAATTTGAGAGAAAATTAATTCAGAATTTTGGAAACATAAGATAAACCCTCTACTGCATCTTTTTTTTTATCCTTTTTCTTTTTTTGAGATAGTGGCACTCTTGTTTTGCACTGAGAGAAAAGGTATGAAAATAACATAATTAAATTGTGGGAAAAGGTAGAATGGAAGGTTGTAGTATAATAATTTGAAACGAATTTGGTTCATTTTCAGTCCAGTCCTTGTACCAGAACATTTTCAGAGGAAAACTTTTTTTCCTTTTCTTTTCTTTGTTGTAAATTCAGTTAAACTATTTAACAATGACTTAATCCTTCAAGAATAGACATTTTAAATCCTGAAACAATTTGAAGCTGGAAGCCAGTAACAAAAAAACATAATTTCTTCATATTCTTTTCAAACCTATGAAAAACATCAATAATAACACAGTATGATAAGCATACATTCATTCTGCTTATCTGGGGTCGGGTCGCAGGGGCAGCAGCCCAAAGCAGAGAGCCCCAGACCTCGCTCTCCCCAGCCACCTCCTCCAGCTTGTCTGGGGTAACACCAGGGCGTTCCCAGGCCAGCCAAGAGATATAGTCTCTCCAGCATGTCCTGGGTCTGCGTCGGGGCCTCCTCCCTGTGGGACATGTCCAGAACACCTCACCCAGGAGGCATCCTTGTCAGATGCCCGAACCACCTCAACTGGCTCCTTTCAATGTGGAGGAGCAGCGGCTCTACTCTGAGCCCCTCCCGAATGGCTTGAAAAAGTAATGTCACAGAAGAACCCAGAACAACATTAAAGAACTCCAAGCTTCACATGTCTCAGTGAAGGTCAGAGTTCATGATTTGACAAAACAAAGAGACTGGTGAAAAAAATGGCATCCATGGGACAGTTCAAGGAGAAAACCACTTCTGATCAAAAAGAATCCAAAGGCTTTTCTTACATCTGTGAAAAAACAAATGAAATTGAGAAGTATACATACACACACGCATGCACTTATAATTAGTGTTACATACATCTAGTTTCATGTGGTTCACGTGACATATGCTTTCAGGTGCATTTACAGACATCCAAAGGTAAGTGGTGATCTGTGACCTTTGGGAGATATGGGTTATCATACAGGTGCCAATATGTATGGGCAAAGGGGATGGACACTATATATTATCTTGATGTTCTTCCTTATTGCATGTAAGTGGAATCCACATACATGTATTAAAGTCTCTCAAACTGACTTGGTGCTAATCCCTTTATTGTTTCAATCTCTACAAAGAAAACACATTACTGCAGTCAGTCTGACTAGACATGAAAAAAATTCAGAATAAATTGCTTTTCTGTTTTCTCCGTCGCTGCCACAACTGTACACAAGCCCATACAGACTACACACCTATGGCTACTGTTTTTTCACAACCACGTAGCATTTGTGAAGTTTGAAAAAATGGCCATTGGTAATTGGTAATTAATCTGTGCTGTGCTGCACAGTGTGATAAAGGGGATGTTAACTAATCTGCCTGTAAATGGTTTAAATGCAGTTTAAATGCATTCAAATAGATTGGCATCTCATTTAAGACTTACATGTACTGTGTTAGTTCATGTATTCTCCTCCTCTTTGAGACTTGTGCCATTTTTACCTGGCTATAAATAGTTTCACATTTTCACGACTGTAGAATATTTTTAAAGTTAAAGACCACTGCTTTGGTTTTATTATACACAAATCCAAAGCAGTTAGAGTACAATTAAACAAAAACAAAACCAACAACAAACAAACAACCTTTATTTGTCACATGCACAATCATACAAGATGCAGTGAAATGCTTGTGCGGACACATTTACTGATGCAACAACCATTATATATGATAAAAAGAAACATATACACGTGTAATGTAATGTTATTAATGTAATAACATTACAAACTAAATATTGCAGATATTTCACAATAGTCTGCAGGTACATACACTCATTGGTTCTCAGCTGACTCTACCCACTTTGTTGGTATGTCTCTAAACTCTGAAAGAATAAAAATTGGGTTAACTAGCTCATGTTAATTCAAATTAAGATAAAAATCGGCTATCTTTAAGTTAGACCACAATATAAATCAGCATCTCGTGTGTAAAGTGAGCTACATGTGAGTGAACAGACCCATATATCTTCTGATTAACATGTTTCTCTCTTGGTCAGAGTAACATGAACATCCACATTTTACACATATGGTACATCAGTGAACACTGTTGATCATTATAAATACAGTTATTGGTTTTCTTCAGCTCTGGGTGTTTGTTGTTGGACTGTAGAATTGGGCTTTGCAGCTCTGTCAACCTGAGCATACACCGTCTCTGGCTGGGGGATGTTTTCAGTCTTAGTGGATTTTTGTCCAGTATGAAACTCCACCAAAGCATAAGTAGATGTTGGAGAATTACATGATTCGTGTCCTGAGGGAGTCTGATTTTGAGTCTGGCCTGGAATGATGTCCTGGAAATAAACCAAAAGTGCTTTGTTAGGAAATTTGTAATAGTCATTATCATTTATCTTACATGTGTTATACAATAATAAGCCAGGAAGTCTGAATGCAAGAGACTGTCACAAACAGTGATGTCTAAATGTGACAAGATAAGCATAAGGATGGATCTGCATCAGCATCAGCTAGATGGAACAGTTGGTGTAGAAAGGAGATGGGGTTGGTTTTAGAAAGTGGCTTGTAAAACAGTTTTGCTCATGTGTAGTTGCAGACTTCAGTCCAGTTTAAAATTTAAAGGATTTTGTATGGAAACAAATCTGTTCTCAATAATTTAATTACTCACAATTAAACCATTTGTTCCTACAGTTTGACTAGCAAAGTGGGAGAGGTTCTTCTTCTGCTTTTTTTTTTTTCAAAAAAAATGTTTCCGCTTACCTCAGGAACCGCATATATAGTATTTTCCTGGTTCCCTCCTTTACTTTTACCTGTAAGTCAGTCATAGAAAATATAGATTGACTTGCTTGAAATTTAGATTTTGCACGAAAAATTTTATTTCTTTATTTAAGTGTTATATTTACAACGCGAGAGAAAAAAAACTCATCCCTCTTTGCAGTCAAAGTGATTTTTATATTTTTATAGCTTTCATTAAGTGTGAAAAACATGCCTATGGAAGCTGTCATAGTCACACACACACACACAAACACACACAAACAAGAACAGCAGCCATACTATTGTAATGACGAAACTGTACCCCCACATAGTCACAGAATATACACTACATATCAGTTTAACACTGACATTTATCATCTTTTATAATATTTGAGTAGTTTGAGGTATATTTATGATATATTTATAGACAAGGTGCATCTTTACATAGATAATGCAAATTTCAATTGTCTTTAATGGGTGATGGACATCAAGGTTGCCTTTGAATTGTTGTAACCATCATTACACGACCTCCTAAAGCTAACAAAACAATGTTTACTGTTCCAATGTTTTCCAAGTCTATACTTTAACATGTACACTGGTACAGCTAGGGACAAAATTAATTCAAGAATTTCCTTCTGAACACTTCCCCGTCTTTGTTTTATAATTTTAATGGCTTTGTTGTTATTTATTTTTATTTAATATTATTATTCATTTTTTATTTACAGCTTAAATCTCCCATTCCACAGTGAATCAACACAGTTACAAACACACTCACACAGAACATACACGAAATAGATCTTTACTGCTGTACTAAAGTATATCTTCATCTGGGCTCCTGCCATTACCTAATCATATGAGAAATGTGTATTTGTATAAACTGTGTGCTTAAATGCAAAATATAATTTTTGTGTACTTTACATATTACCTACATATTACACTAAAAACAAATATTGGAACTTACATTTCATTATGACACAAAGGGTAATGAAGAGAATCAAGAAGACAACAGAAGTCGAAGCTGCAATTATGATGGCTCCACTGGGAGCTGTAATGAAATTAATTATATCACAGAAATTTTGGTTAAGTACTGGGATTTATTTGCAAAGAAGAAGAAAAAAGTATTATAGCAGTAAATCTTTTACTGATCACTACAATATTACATTTCACATCCCTGGTTGTGGCAGTTTGCTTAAGCAAGTTCTTTAAGAAGGCAATACAGAGTTTTTTGACAACCATTCAGTTGGTGTTTAGTTCACACCTACATTCAATCATCAGCTGAGTTAACCCCATGTCGAACTACATGTTTTTGGAGAAGTAGTTCGACATGGGGAGAACATGCAAACATCACACAGCAAGGTCTTTAAAATCTGGTTATTTCAGTTTTTCATTCATTATGACCGTTATTCTCACCTGTCTCTGTTTCACAGTAAGATTTGAGCAGCTTAGTCACGTTCCAGCTCACTTGGTTGCTGTGATTACAGAAAATGGTGTCTTGCTGCAGGTAAACACTTAGAGAGGAAAAATTTTTCGTGGCCTTCAAATCCTTTGCTCCTGCATGAGAGCAGATTTTACCATCACATCTAAAACTACTGCTGACGTTAAAGTCCACTGCGCTGCAGGTCACAGTCAGGTTACAGGAGTCTGAGCTGTTGGACACAGGGTCCACTGTCAGTTTGGCAGGAGTCACTGGATCTGGGGAACAAGAGGTGTGAAAGTATTAAAAACAGGTCTATGATGTATCAAAATTTCAAAATAATGAAAAGAGAAACCTACCTTGAACTATGACCTTGTATTTAGCTACCCTTTGCTCTTGTTCGCTGACCACAAGTGCAGTATAATCTCCACTGTCACTGTGTTGAACATTCTTTAATTTCAAAGAGCAATTTGGTCCAAACAGCTCAGCCCTTCCTGCATATTTGTTATACACGAATGGATCTTTATTAAAAACACATTTAGCTATATTGTTACTGGAATTAACTTTCCAGAACAAATCTGTCTGTTCGTCAAGTGTAACAGGTTTCTCTGTATCCAAGTGTAAGTCCTTTCCATGCAGCACAAACACATGTTGGAGACCTAAAAGAAAACAATTAAAATTTTAATTAAGACTTTAACAACACTAATGTCAGAATTGTGTGCATGAAGCTACATATTGCAAAATTTAATATAATGACAGAAGGTTATGTCAACTTAAGATCACAAAAAATGAATGTGGAATAGTATTTAATTCTCCTGTCCAGAAAACAAAAAACATGTCAGTGTTGACTGTGAGGCAGGCAGAGTCAGACCCAAATGCAGGATTTGGAAACAAGGGAGGTAAACTAAGGCAGTTTTATTGCTGAACTTAAACATAATACAGAATAATGCAGACTGAAAAACAAGGAAAACATAAGTGTGTTGATGCATGCTCAATCATCCAGGTAAGGAAATCCCAAAAAGTTGATTCTGTTCATCCGGATGCAGCGTTTTTACTGGGAAAAACATTTCATCACTGATCCAAGACTGAAGAAGTCACTTGGATCAGTGACAAAATGCTTCTCTTACTAAAACCTTTATATCCAGATGAACAGAATTAAACTTTTGGGTAAATCTATGAGTCTTTATGGAGAACAAACTGCAAGGAAGGACACAACAAAGGACAAAAGGAGACAGAGACAATACATAACAAGGGAAAACACGACAGGTGGGAAGACAACTGAAACAAATAATTAGACACCGGAAGAAGAACAGAAGACATGAGACAAGTGGTCACCAAAGTAAATAAGCAAATGACTAACACTGACCTAGAAACCTGAACTTGACACAGACAGAAGCCAAAGCATGAAAAGAAGTCTGTTCCAGAAAGGAAGACTGGGACAGACTGAAGACAGAAGGGAATTAATATCATCTAACAAGGAACCAAGGACTCGAATCAAAGCTAGCAAACAGAAGGACCAAGAAACAATAAAGCGCTATATAAATACAGGCCATTTACCATTTACAGGCCAATATCGCAAACCTTAAACAAGGCTCAAATATAGATCACGCTTTAAAAACCAGAAGAATATTACCCTGGCAGTACCCTGACAGAACATCGAAATAGTGAGAATACAACAGCAATGCCCCTAAATCAAATGCAGCTTTTTATTATTTATTTGTTTGATTATTTTTATTATTATTTAGTCACATCTAACTGCTTGCTGTCTACGATCTCCAGAAAATGGTGTGGGCTTCACACGGCAGATAAACCTGGTTGTTTGGAGTTACAGTTACACGGCGGTGGTGCACTTTTAATAGCTAGAGATATGAATGAATATATCAAACCACATGAAACGTATCTATGCAGGGTTGAGACCAGGAAGCAAAGAGGGAATCTTACATATCTCTCAGCTGCTTACGTCCTCATTAAATGCCCACCAAGATCCCATCCCTACAGACACTGTGTTCTCACAGGCCACAGAAAATGAACCAGAAAACAAAATACCCTCAAAATTCATGAATAAAAATTATTCAAAATGATTATCTGAAATCATTTTGAATAATTTTCACCTAAGAGGAAAACTGTTATGTATTAGTTAGTGAATATTTGGTCAAAGTTCATGGTGGTGAATGGTTTTAATAATCAAGTCTTAGTAACTGCCAAAATCCTCAAACACATCTGAAAAACAGAATATCAATTTTTTGCAGCTGTTTACCTAAAAATGCAGCCAAGGTGGGGGTTTTTTTAAAATAAACATTTCAAAATATTTACAGCACAATCAGCTGTTCTGCATCAAATTTGATGTCACACAAATTATTTGCGCCACTCCAAAAAATTTCTGTCCACTATGTGATAAAGGAGAACATCACAGCCTGATACCTGCAGGCCTGACAACAGGAGATGTATCACTCCTGTAACACCTGTAACATTCAGCAGTCGCCTCATTGTTCTGACACACACAACAAAACTATTGACTACACTACACACTAACTACACAAGATTTGCGCTAAACGTCGCAAATCTCTCACATCTCAAAACACTCCTAAA